GCCTCTGCTTGCCAGAAGCTGGAAGTGGACGACAGAGGATGAATCACTCAATAATTGCCTTGTTCTGTTAATTCCCTTTGAAGCACCCGGCATTGGCCACTGTTGGAAGACAGAGTACTGGGCTAGATGGACCATTGGCCTGACCCAATATGGTCGTTCTTATGTTCTTATGTAAAAATTAATTATAATATAATAAAAATGTTTAGTACAGAAACTCCCCAAGATAATGACCTCTCGAGATAGCAACAATGTAAGAGAATGACCTTGGCAAATGTGTTTTTAAAAAAATCTTGGCCTACTAGGAAATGTATCTTTATATAAGCTTCCTAGTCACAAATCTAGCATTCTGGAGCAAAGTCACTAAAATGTAGTCCAACAAACAAATGTTCCTTTAACGTGTCCCTCCCTTCTCCCTCTACCACACCCCACTCATAGTTGTTGGTCTTGATCAGCGAAGACCCAGAGTTCAGAGGTGCTTTCACATGAGTTCACCTCCCATCCTGTTGGGGTACAGGGGAGAAGGCACCTTGCTCGTTCTTCCAGCTGCTCATCACTCACTCTGGCCGCTGTTGTTTGTCGTGACACCATTCACTCCACCACTCCATTGTTGATGGCCCTGTGCCATCACCTTCTGCTGCCACCTGCCACTGTGACCTCTGAGAGTCGGTCTCTTGAGGTTCCACCCAGCTCTGAGTGATTTCAGTTCTCAGTGGGGGAACCTCACAGCGAGTGCAGTCTGGGCTGTCTTTTCAAGAGAAATGCTGTCCTGCATTTAGACCTGATTATTAGTGATTTCAGCTCTGGTGACCACTTAAAAAAAAAAAAAAAAAAGACTCTCTATGGAGCCTAATAAGTTCTATCTTTAAATATGGGCAAGGGGCAAGTCAAATAATGCCTGTGACTTTTAGGCACAGCTCACAGCACCAAGCAAAACTCTTGTCCCGTCCTTCCCCACTCTCGCTCCACTGGGATCTGCCATCCAAACCCCTTGCTTAGTGAGTGCAGTTCAGTTGAGGGTGACCAGTGCTTAATTTGTGATGAAAGAGGTGCCAGGGCTCAAGCAAGTTTTTTACTTTCATAACTGATGTGACAAGCCCGGGGCTATGAACTGCGAAGCCTAGAGGTGCCAGGGCTCAGCCCTGACAAAAATTAAGCATTGAGGGTGACCCCCTCAGTCAGGACAGGCTAAGTACAGTTCTGCTGCCCTTTACTCAAACCATAAGGAGAACAACATTTTGTGACCCCCCACATTCAATTCTAAAATGATTTGTAACCCAGTACCAGCCAGAATTGATCACTTGGGCAGCACAGCTCTGTCTGCTGGATACCTAGGCAGAGTAGGTGTGTTCATGTAAATACAGTCTGGTCCTGAAGCCTTCCCCCCTCCCCGGCTCATCACTAGCTGTCAGGGAGAGCTCATTCAGACCTTGCTTACAAATCATCATTTGAAATTCTAAGGCTGGCCAACATTGCTGAAATGAATGTGCCAACATTGTCAGAATAAAACAAGAGCCGTATGAAGAAGCCAGTCTTTGTTCATACTTTTCAACCTATTATACTTTTTCAGGTACAAGTATTTTATCATACTGTACATGCTTTTAAAGTGTGTATTAATGTTTCAATTTCAATTCAAATTTCCAACCAATGACTAAATTGGCAACACTGTAACTAGTTGACACTTGGGTGGGTGGGTGGGTGGGTGGTTTGAGGAAATTCAGGGGGTGGGATTGCACTCCCATTGGGGGGGGGGTGTAAGGAAATCCCTGGTACTCAGTCCCATTGTATAGACCTGTTCAGAGCTGTTTTTAGAAATGCTGTGGAAATGTACAAACATCCCTATCCTTACAGGACAGCAGGAGCACTCACTTTGCATGGACCTTGCATGTGCAACCTCCTTTAATAGGTGCTACTCTTGCCTTTCTGGTGCATGGCTTAGGAGACTGGATATGTATCCATAGGCTCCGTCGTGCACAGCACTCATGCTCTCGAAACACACACACAAGCTCATTCTTGCACGATCTGGGCCTGCTGTGGCAGTCCTTAATTGGACTAAAATGCCACTGAAGTCCAGGGTGATTCTAGCCTGTGCAAGGGCTGGGAAGCGCAGCTACAGCTTGGCAGTGGTTTCTGTTCAGAGCTGCACCACTCCATGGGAAGCTCAGGATTTCTTCCAGAGCGCTCAAGTGCATAAGGGGACATATTTTTCCCTGTGAGATTCTCCCACTTTGTAGACCAGTGCTGAGGGGCGTGCTGTAGAGCTGTGGGTCAGGGCATCTTCAGGAACACAGGAAGGTAGTAGAGTCCCTCTCTTTTCCTAAGTGTAGGCATTGCATTTGGAGCCAGCCCTTGTGTGGCTCCTTGTGTCTCTCCCCCACCCCCCCACCTGCCTAAAGATCAACCAGGATCTGGTCTGGTAAGACCTGCAGGTTGGGCCCTTGCCAGTTTTCCTTCAGAAGATTAATTTCCCTTTAATTTCCTCTAGCTTAAAACCCCCCTAAATGCCTCCCCACTAGATCATAGACCCTCAGACTAGGGACTGACTTTCATTTACTTGTAAAGCACGAGGGGTGTGTGTGTGTGTGTGTGTGCGTGCGCTCTCCAAGGATGTGCCCAGTTAGCCATTTGCTCACTGCTGGTGAATTAACTAAACACATACTTGACAACTTATCAAATATTGTGAGACTTGAGTGTGTGGGTTTCCCCCCCACCCCCATAGTCTTCCTGTAATTGAAGAGCATCCCAGTGCCAGAGGACAAGGGGCTCCTTGATATCTGGTGGAAAGTTTCAGGTGGTCTGATCAGTTCAGTGTATCTGATATGTGTCATGTAAGGTGTCACTGGAAAGCTGAGAACACACAGATTATGAACATTCTTGTGTGGCTGGCATATGTATGGTAAATGCCCAAGGGACCAACCCTAGGTGAGGGAAATGTGGCACTAAAATGTGTTTACCAGGCTGTGGAGTGAGTAAACCGGTTTCTCCAGACAAAGGACTGATGTCTCCAGCCAGGTGTCAGAATTGACTTGCAAGTGTAGGTCAAGTGCCCCCTTCATTTGCATCGAAGGGGGCAGGAACAGATCAATTTGTATTATAGAAAACACCAGTGGAGGAAGAAACTAGCATAAACCTTCCTTCACTACCAGACTCCATGTCACCTTTCTCACAGGTCCAATGAACTCTACTACGGGGACGGGTAGGCCAACATTCAGAAAAATCCCTTTCAGTGGTTCACTGGACTACAAAAGTGGGGCAAAGAACCCTTCCCCCCTCCCCCCTTACATTTTCACCTAACAAGACAAAGAAACTGAGCATTTTATCTTTGGAGAGAGATCCTGACCAGAGAGGTGGTCTGCCATCTTGCTGGAAGAAGTGTCTGGTAAGTTTTACCTGATACCTAGACTATAGCTTGTTAAAGTCTTACAAGTGAAAAATGCTTTCTAATGCTATTTGTTCATAACCATGTCAATCTTTACAGTGTATACATGGTCTTACTTAAAACCTTTGTAATAAACTTGTTTTAATCTGAACCATCCAATGAACAGTCCCTTCCATTCAAAGTGATAAGCTGTGCCTTTCCTCTCTTTAGAGGAGCGAATGAACCTTAGTGTTCCTTGGAAGGGCCCAGGAAAGGGCTGGACACTGCAGAGCGCATGGTTTTGGGGAAAATCCAGGACAGGGAGTTGTGGGGGTCAGCTTGCCCCCACTAATGCTGGTGGAAACCAGGGAGTGACTGTGTTGCTGCAGGAGGCAAACGAATGTCTCAGTATGGGAGAGGGTTGCACAGCAGACAGAGTGCATGCATGGTGGTGACAGCAGCCCAGGCAGAGAGCTGCAGCACCAGAGCACTCAGGAGTACATGACAAGTAGTTAGACAACCCCTCACTGGTCTGGATGGCCCCCAGAATGACACCCCACTCCCGAAATCATGAGATTAAGTGGGAATCTCAGATTTACTTTTTTTTTTTTTAAAAAATAAGTTCCTCACCTCTGGGGTTGTGGAGAAAAGCTTGAAAAGTGACCCAAGGCAAATAAAACCAACCCAAACCATCTTTCTATGGTATTATGGTTAAGTAAATCTCATACCTTTGGAATAGTTGGGGTTGGCAATATCATAAACAGGTTCCCCTTTCCTGAGTCTCTGAGCCAGGAGCAACAAGCAACCTTACTTTATATATTTTAGGGTCGCTTTCCTAACTCGCTGGTAAGATGTCAACTGCTCATCTAACCAAAGCAGCCCTAGTGTTTAAAGGACTGAATGGCCATCAAACGGTTCTGGCCCATCTAATACTCATTCAGGGCGCTTTTTATTCCTGAATCACTTCTCTTAACTCCCCTGGCCCAATTTCACCCCCAATAATAATAAATCCTGCTCTTTCCCCATCCTCCAGCTGCTATGGCGCCAACTCAGATTCACAGGGGATTTCCCTTTCAAGGGTGCTGAGAAGAAGCCCCAGATTATTATAATAAGCAGCAGCATTGGGTGGGTCACAGACAACCCAGGCTGGCTGTGCGGCTTGTGCACTGTCTGGCGGAGAGGGGTTCAAGCACCCGCCCCATTCATGCAATGAGCTGCGTCCGGCAGCCAGAGGGCCAGGGAGACGTAGCGCCTGGCTGGCCCCTCCTTGCCTGGAGCCGGCGCTCCAGCCTTGGCAGCCCTTGAGCCGGAGCCTGCCCTTGCCAGCGGCTCTGCCATTCAGGATTAAGCCGCGAGCCGCAACATCTGTCACTAGCCCAGCCAGCGGCGGGGAGCGCTGGAGCCCCGCGGCACCTGCGGGGCCGGAGCCCGTCACATGGCCCGGCCGGCTGGGATTAGACGCGTCGCGCTGCAGTGAAAAGCCGCGGTGATTATCCGGGGGAGGCGGCTGGAGCAGAGCGAGCGCGGCCGGAGGGAGCCCCTCGCTGCAGCCACATGGCCGCGGAGCGCTGCAGCGGGCGCCTCGCCCCGGACCAGGCGCTGGCCGGGAGCTGTGCCCAGGCCGAGTGACTGCGGGCCGCGGAGAATGTCCTATCTGCGCCCCCCGGGCAGGGACCTGGAGCGCTTCGACGGGCTCTCTCTCATTTACTGGTAAGCGGGCTGCCGCCTCTGGGCTGGCCCGGCCCCGCCAGGACGGGACACTCTGAGTGGAGCGCTGGCACAAAGGAAAGGGCCGGGTACTTTTAACGCGTGTGGTGGTGCACAGCCCAGCGGGAAGGGACCCATCGCGGCGGGGTCCCGAGGAGAACGCATTGTCTTGTGATCGGGGAAAGGCCCTGCATGGAGTCGCTTTGCAGGGTCCCTGAAAGGAGAGCAGGTGCATTCCTCTAACTCCCTTCTTCCAGCCACCCTTTACAAGGCTCGGTTATTTAAGCCTGGCAGCCACTACACTCCAGCTCCCTTCCTCTGTGAGATGGGTCGCTGGGGTTGTCTTTATAGTTGGGGGAACTGAAGTAGAATAAGGTGAAAAGCTTTACCAAGGGTCCCAGAGAGGTGGGAATATCTCCCCAAAGCTCTTGGCTCCCAGCCCCTGCGTTCCAACCGCTAGTTTTGTGATCTCTCTCTAAGCCAGTAGTGTTTGTTTGGGACAGTAAGTGTGCACAAAACATCTAGAAAGGGCCATTGCAGCCTTGTCCCCAGTGGCTCCAATAGAGTTGCACCAGTAGAAAAGGCAGCAGAATTGAATTGGTTCCCTGCTCCGAGACTCTTACACTAGAAGGGACTGAGTTTAAAAGATACATTTGCCAGCCAGCCAACTTCCATGTGTGATACCCTAGAAATTCTAAGCTGGCACCTGGGATATGCTAACCCCCTAGCTTGGGATCATAGAAACAAGAGGTCTTAGCAGTAGGAGAGCTCCATGAGATTCTAGGAACCTGCACCAAGACTCTCGCCAGTTACTTCCACTCAGTTTGACAACTGGAGAACCACCCCATGGAAGGACAAATGCAACTAAAAATGACTTAAAATAAAGCAGTAGCCTGTGGCGAGGAAAGGAAGAGGGTTTGATAGACTCTGGAGCTGAGCTGCTGCTTTTTGAACAGTTCTTGTTCCAGGACACTAACAAGCAGAGATGGGTAAGACTCCGAGGGTCTCTTCAGCTTGTGGAGTCATTTGTCCTTCTGCTCCCATTCAGATCTGGGAGCATTTTCCATCCATTTTGCCTAGGTGTAAATAGCGGAACATGGCCTAGGCGAAGGGGATCAGGCCCCTGGAGCCTGCTGCACAAGTCCAGCCTGATACCGCAAATGAAATGAGTGGTGGTATCTGGTCAAAGGCAGATGCACACCACATATCCATGTGCAACTGGCAGTACCTCGTTCTGGGTCTGATCCGAAGTCCAATGAAGTGAATGGAAGGCTGTTTTGGATTGGGCACTAGGAGGGGGACCAAGTAGCTTGGATGCTCAATTCTCTCTAAATTCCACCTGAGGTTGAGTAAACTAGTTAATTTCCCAAATGGGGCGGTTTGAAGGAAGCCTTCCTGGTACAGTGCATGACTCCTGCATTCCATATGCAAATACGGTCGCCATCATAAATGGGGAATGTGCTGGAAAAATAGTGCTTAACATAGTGGGTCCAGCTGGTGTCATTCCAAGTAGGTCCGTTGTCCTAGGACGAGTTATGCCAACTTGCCATCTGCTTAAATCCATCCCAATATCTAATTTAATTCTCCCAGGCTGGTAAGTAGTAGTAACCCAACTGCAGAGGAGCAGATAGGTTAAGGGACTTGGCCACCGCCCCAGAATCAGTGTCAGAACCAGGCTTGGACCCAGGAATTCTTGATTTGCACCCTGATGCTCATACCATGCACAGGATGACACATGCAATTTTGGTGCTGACAGGACATTTGATACTGTAAGTGCTTGGTTAGAAAAGTAATTATTTGATTAAACTGGCAGTAAATATACAGCTGTGTTTAAAACCTCAGAAAGGGAGAGCATGGTGTTACTGAAACCAATCAGAAATAAATGACAAGGGCCTGATGCATCCCTCAACTGGTGAGTGTGATCAAGAACATCTCTGGCTTTCTAAAGTACATGCTTCCATGAAGCAGAAAATCTGGGCAGAAGAAAGACGGCTAATATCTAATTGTAAATATGGCACATAGATTTATATGTGGGACCTGCTCCAGTGTGCATTGAAGCCAATGGGAGTGTTCCCATTGACTTGAATGGACCCAGTCTGGGTCCACAGTGCGACTGACTTCACTGGCTGACCAATTATGGATTCAGTGGGCTAGAACCTCAGCTGGTGTGACCTACTGTAGCTCTGTTGACTTCAGTGGCGCTACACTGGTTTTCCCCCAGTTGAGGATCTGGCCCTGTATTTCTAGTGACATGTGAGACACGTTCAGGGGGTTTTGCCTTTAAAAGCAATCCTGAGCTTTCTGAACAGGGCTTTCTCTTGCCTTTGCTAGAAATAATTCACTTTTTATGTCCCCATAATCCCATAAAGGTTTCGTTATATGCCTTATAAGGAAGAACCTAGTAAGAGGAGACTAAGCTCTTTAAATGTTTCCAAGAAATTTGTTTTCTTTGATGGTTTAACACTTGAAGTTGAACTAAAAGTAACAGAGATTTGTGTAGCTCCCACTGGAATTCATTAGCAAATTCCTTCCAGGAGGGGTGGAGAGTGTTATAAGCAAAGAATATTTTTGGTTTGCTTAGTTGCTTTTTCAGCTGCAGGAAAAATTGTTACTCCTGTAAGAACTTAAAACCCTAGAGATGCTTCCACAAAGAGGGTGAAGTCTGGACTTAAATCCAGATTTCCAGTTTCCAGCACATCACTGCATGTATTGAATAAGTGCAAAAGGTTCATCTCAGCCCTGCAGGGTGTGCTATAATAATAAACAATCATTTGTTTTCAGGCACACAGAAATGTGTGAGGTGCCTCCAAGAATAAGCAAAGACATTGTACTTCCCCAAAGTCGTTCCTTTTTAAAACATGTGCAGTGTCGTCATCTTCTCCTGAATTTGGCTCCCTCATGACTCCACCTGAACCATCTAATACTCTTAGTGACACTCGAGTGTATTCAGTGTTGACTATGCTGACTTTAGTGCTGGAACTCTGATTTTACACCTGTGTGGTGGAGAGCGGGATTTTGCCCAGCATCTCCAACTTGGTGGAAGTGGAAATACTTGTGAGCATACGGAGGTCTCTAGATTACCGCCTGGTAGGTAAAAAGGTGTGGGGGATGGCTTCTGGGACCTACATCCTCCTCTTAGGCCTTGTCTACAAGAGCAAGCTTTGTACCAGCAATTGGCCATAAGCAGAGCTTTGGAACAATGGTGGAAGCAAGAGGCGCCCCTGGCCTCCAGATTTGCTGCCTGGCTTGTACTGAGCATGGTCACACAGACTGAGCATGCTTAGTAATATCTGCTGAAGCCGCTGCCCTCACGCTGCCCCTCCCCCGCACTGTTGGTAGGTACGAGTCATCTCTGGTGGAAGCTGCAGTGCAAACAGGACTCAAGTGTTTTTTTTATCAGCATGTCCTCATGGAAGAAAGGATGACCTAGTGGATGGGATACTAAGCTGGGCCCCAGGAGACCTAGGTTCAGTTCCTGGCTTAGTCACAGATTTTCTGCGTGAGCTTGGGCAAAGCCTTTAATTTATCCAGTGCCTGTGTTCCCTGTGTACAAAATGGGGGCTTACACTTTCCTGCCTCATACGGGTACAGTGAAGGTAAAATCCACTCACAATTGCGAGGCGCTCAGGCTCTATGATAGTTAAAGAGGAAGGATGGTCTAGTGGTTAGGGTACTAGCTAGAGAGGTGGGTTCAACTTCCTGCTCTGCCACAGACTTCCTGTGGGACCCTAGGCAAGTCAGCCTCTCTGGGGCTCAATTCCCCATCTGTAAAATGGGCATAATAGCCCCCCCCCAGGGAGTTGTGAGGATGAAGACATTAAGGATTGTGAGATGCTCAGGTACTATGGTCATGGGGGCCATCTGAGCACCTAAGGTAGATAGAGGGCTATACAAGTTCCTAGACCAGGGATCGGCAACTTTTGGCATGCGGCCCATAAGGGAAATCGGCTGGCAGGCCAGGACGGTTTGTTTACCTGCAGCATCCGCAGGTTTGGCCGATCGCAGCTCCCACTGGCCGCGGTTCGCTGTCCCAGGCCAATGGGAGCTGCAGAAAGCGGCGCGGGCCGAGGGATGTGCTGGCAGTTGCTTTCCGCAGCTCCCATTGGTCTGGAACGGTGAACCGCGGCCAGTGGGAGCTGCGATCGGCTGAACCTGTGGACGCGGCAGGTAAACAAACCGTCCCGGCCCGCCAGTGGATTTCCCTGATGGGCCGCTTGCCAAAGGTTGCCGATCCCTGTCCTAGACAAACACACTGTTAGACAATGACAATCTGCCTAAATGTTTTAAAAAACACCCTCCGCAAAACCCAACCCATTAGTGTATCTCCACTTTCTGTGGGCATGGTGCCAAAGTCTCTCAGACCTCACCTGACTTCATTTTCATTGGATTGCGAATCGGGTGGGTGAAAACCTTCCTCTCCCCAGAAGTTTGCTGTCCTCTCCGGTACACAATTTCAGACCCAACCCTGTATTCGGAGAAAAGCTCTGTTGGATTTAGCTGCCTGCAGTTGGGGAACAGCTGAAGAAAGCCCTCCCTTCCGGAAGGGAGGGCTGGGAGGGGAAGAGTTTGTGCAGCAATCTGCCTAGCAGAAGCTGCTCTGTTTCTGCTACAGTATGTGTCTGATTAGTGCTGTTGATGCATCGGGAAAATTGTTGGCTCAGGGAAAAGCCAAGCTCCCTCCAGGACCCCCAGTGTGTGAAAAGTGCCAGATGGGCTGGGTGGTGTTCTGCTGGCCTTACACTTTGCTTAGGATTTTGTCCAGGAAGCAAACTCTTCAGGGCAGCAAACAGATGGCAAGTGAGATAACGCTGCCCCATCACTTCGATAGATGTGGCCCAACTCTGCCAGTGATTAAAAGATTAATTTGTTAGAGTGTCTGCAATGAATGAATGAATAGATTAACTAAACTGCCCCATACCCTGGTACTTTTTGTACAGTCACACCTGCTGGGAATTGACACTTGGGCAACCTTTCCCCTGCACTGATGAGTGAACAGAGCAAGT